GGTGCGGGCTGTAACTGGCCCGGGAGAGGAGGAGGAGGAGGAAGGAGTGTGGCTGCTAGGGCTCGCTTCTGCCTGAAGAAAACCGGGGAGGGAAGCCTGCCTGTGGCCTGCAGATGGACTGCAAGACGCGGACAGACGGCATGGTCTGACCGTGGCTTTGGCGGTGGCTGCATGCGATGGGCCCGTAGCTTGTTTTCTACTTCAGTTCCTCAGACCTTTTTTTAGTTTAAGGGCTGCCTTGGAAGACAACGCATTGATCCAAAGTTTTGTTTATTCTAAATAACGCTTTACACAGCAGTTTATCATAGAGAGCTTGCAGACCTACTTAAAGATTGAATGCCGCTGACCTTTCAAGTCACTCTGCGGCAGCGGTGCCGCTCGGCCCGCTTTGGGACGCTTTGGGTCAAACCCAAAGCCCTTTCCCCTCGGCTCAGACCGGCGCCGGTCAGGTGGCAGCGGTGCGGGCAGCCCTCCTCTGCGTGGACCATCCTCCCCCCAGCATGTCTGCGCGGGAGGAGGGGCCATTACGGACCCCGTATTTCTGGGGTCCTGCCGGAGCTGGGTCCTCCCAGCAGAGCAACAAGGCTGGTGAGGGGTCCCGAGAACAAGTGCTGTGAGGAGCAGCTGAAGGAACTGGGGCTGTTTAGTCTGAAGAAGAGGGGGCTGAGGGGAGACCTTACTGCTCTCTACAACTACCTGAAAGGAGGTTGTAGTAAGGCAGGTGTTGGTCTCTTCTCCCAAGTAACTAGTGACAGGATGAGAGGCAATGGCCTCAAGTTGCGTCAGGGGAGGTTTAGGTCGGATATTAGGAAAAAATTCTTTACTGAGAGAGTGGCCAGACATTGGAACAGGCTGGCCCCGGGAGTGGGGGAGTCACCATCCCTGGAGGTGTTCAAAAAACGTGTAGATGTGGCACTTCGGGACATGGTTTAGCAGGCATGGTGGTGTTGGGGTGACGGTTGGACTTGATTACCTTAGAGGTCTTTTCCAACCTTAATGATTCTATGACTCTCTCTCCTTGTTCCTCCCGGGGATCTCGCATGAGCGGTTTGCTCCCTTCCACGTCAGTCCATCAGCAAAGCAGTGGAAGAGCTCGGTGATCTCCGGGGGGCCTGATGGACAGGGTTCTGGCAACGGCTGCCGATGGCTCTGAATGAAAGAGGCAGCAGAGATGCCAAGTGCTGCTTCGTTATGACGTATTCCTCAGTTAGCCACTGCCGTCTAGTCCTAGCAGTCGTATTTTGGAGTTTCTAAGTAGTACAGGGTTATATTTCAGGGATGAGTTACAGCTGTAATGTGCATTTTGGTAGTAAAATTCCAACATAATAGTAGAATGCTTAACTAATACAATATGCAAGCAATCCCTTGGTCTGTAAGTCACGACTACTTAAAGCTGATAACCTTAATCTTGAAATCAAATAAAAGAAATAGCTGGAGCTTCTCAAACGTGCTGGACCAGGATCCTCTAGGAAATAGAACATTCTTAAAAATCTTGTTCTCTGCTTCGAAATGAAAGGGAAAGCTGCAGGCACATTCCAGGGCTCCTAGGACCTGACCTCCAGCCTTTAGCAGTGTGCCGCTATGTTGAAACATTAACTATTTCCAACACTTTTGGCAAGATGCAATTAAGTTTTGGATTCCTTGTCCCTTTTAATTATTAGAGCTTT